ATCACTTTAACTACCAGTATAGCTAAGCGCAACTTAAGGCTGTTTTATTTCCAGGCAACACCATGAGGACACAGCAGACAAAAGGCTTGCTTGGATTTGTTTGCTTTGTGGTATGCAGCAAGTGGGGGAGGCCCCCTATTCGGTGCCTGCCCTGCAGGGTTGGGCACTTCCTGGTCAGATTTCATTTCCTTTAAATCAGTTTCAATTCAAAAAACTCCCAACACTGAAGTTGAAAGGAGGAACGCGTGTCCATGTCCTTCCAGAACTTCAGAGTGCCCACTTGTTTGTAAGACTGAATTTGAGTTGCCCTATATCTCTGTCCCTTTTATAATATTTATTTCATCAGGATTCAATGGTGAATCAAATCAAATGATACTCAAATGCTAGGAAAGATGTAAAATTTGGTAGCGCTGTTATGTCTAGGGTTAGTTAATTTAGGGAAGTTTTACCACCAACTTGTTTGCTGGGAAGTTGCTGATTTGGGCTCCATGTGCTCGTGCTAACAGAGCCAGAGATTTAAAGACCTTTCATGAACTCTAAAAGGAATAATTTGCCTCTGAACATAAATCTGAAGCTTCATGCATCAACTGGAAGGTAAATTGAACCCAATTGAGGGCACCAGTCATTACTTTTATCAATGTCTGATATGTACAAATAGTTTGCCTTTCAAGAAGGAGGTTCTATGTATTGCAGGCTCAAATTATATTGAATATATATATATTAAAAATATCTATAGGCAGTGGTCCTCATGGTTTCGTGCAGGCCTCAATGTACCCGTGTGCCATCTCTCCTGTGGGAGCCGCATTGGCTGCCCATTTGCTTACAGGTCCAATTCAAGGTGCTGCTATGTGGCTTGAGACCAGGTTATGGGAAGGACTGTCTTCTCCCAGTCACATCTACCCAACCCACCAGAGCGGGGAGGCAGGGAATCTTGCATGTCCCTTGTCCTAAGTAGGCCTATCCAATGGGACCAAGAAGAAGGTCCTTCTCCACAGTGGCTCCCTCTTTGTGAAACATCATCCCCACAGAGATAAGATTAGCCCCACATTGACACTCTTTCGAAAGCGCTAAAGATGTGTCTTTCCAACAGGCTTGGGGACCCCAGAGAGGGATGGAGCCCATCAAATGGCACATTTGATTGTTGTCAATGTGGGAGGGAGAGGAGTTATTTCTTTTTATTGTTTTTATATTGGGTTTTTACCACCCAGAGTCACTGAGAGTGAATTGGGCAGCTGTATCAATTTTCTTACATAAATAAATATTCTACTCTTTGTAACAAACACACCTTCAGCAAAATGACTTTGGGTATCTTCTAGAGCAGTGGTTCTCAATCTTGTTTGCTTTAAGATGAGTGGACTTCATCTCATGGCTGGTTGGGGAATTCTGGGAGTTGAAGTCCACACATCTTAAAGATGGTAAGGTTGAGAAGCAGTTTATAGATTCTCAAAGCAAGAGGTGTTGTTGTTGTTAGTTGTTGTTTTTAGTTGCAAAGTTGTGTTCAATCGCGACCCCATGGACAATGTTCCTCCAAGCCTTCCTGTCCTCTACCATCTTCTGGAGTCCATTTACGCTCACGTCTACTGCTTCAGTGACTCCATCCAGCCACCTCATTCTCTGTCGTCCCCTTCTTCTCTTGCCCTCCATCTTTCCCAGCATTAGGCTCTTCTCCAGTGAGTCCTTCCTTCTCATTAGGTGGCCAAAGTACTTGAGTTTCAACTTCAGGATCTGGCTTTCTAAAGAGCAGTCAGGGTTGATCTCCTCTAGGACTGACCGGTTTGATCACCTTGCAGTCCAAGCAAGAAGTAGGTGCACCTTAAATAAACATATTTTTCAGTTGGCTTGTAACGTCCATCAGAGTAGAACAGAAAACTGTCAAAAATGAGGCCTCTGGATGAGGGCCTATCTGCTCCGTTTCTCTCCTATTCATCTGCCTAGTAGCTGGCTTAGCCTGTCCCAAATCCGATTCTTCCAGATGGGCTGGGATTACACCTCCCAGCACTCCCTGTAAATTTCCCAAAGATCCTGGGTAAACGAGGGTGACCCTCAAGCCAACATTATTTCCTTATCACTAAATGCCAGAGTTTCGGTCTACTGGTCAGTCAATCCCAGAACAAGGTTGGTTGTGAAGTTGGGGCAATCAAGGCAAAGGTGCTCCATGTAATCAGAAAGTGCTTCCTATCACAATGGGAAATATTTTGCTTCTGTGCAAATGGACACAAACATTTGAACTTAAAAATGGTTGAGCCTTAATTGTACACATAGAGTAATCTCTGGACATGTTGGGACACCAAATTGTAGATAGTTGGTTTAGCTCATATTAGCCAGAAAGGTGTTTTCCCAAGGAAGCAGGATAAGAGATTATCGTAACTGAAGTATGATGTGTGCAGAAATCAGGGAAATATTTGCAGTGAATCATGAGGAAACAGATGGCACAAATAAAACTCCTGCAACACATTGTCAATATTTTATAATCTTTTACTGATATTGGAATAGATTTTTGACATTACTTTCTTTCTTCAACTATATCAAAGATGGTTCTCCATCAGCCTTGCCAGTTACTGGTACCACCAGAAGCCAAGTTCTGAAGCAGAACTATAGTGAGATGGTTACGCTAAAGGAAGATTTCTGCTACCTTACATGAATTGTGGGATGTCCATAAATTCTACACTGACAGCTGGAACTAGACACATATGAAAATTCTCCAATGAATTTGTGGGCAGAGGAATAAAAAGCTCGATCTTGGTTCCTGGCCATTACATGGACATAGCCATTTCGCTTTCTGAGTGGCAGCACACAAAGGGATTGATTGCCATTGCTTTCCTCCAGAACGTATTTCCACCATCTGAATCCAGCCTACAGGACTGATATTTCCTGGTGATTGCCCATCCAAGTGCTAACCATGTCTGACTTTTATACCTTGGTGTTTTTTTTTTGCCTAAGTGTAAGACCTTACTTTTCACAACACTGAATGGCATTTTATTGGATAGTGCCCAGTGTTCAAGTCTGTCAAGATCCTGAGTTTATCTTCCAAAATGTTGGCAATTCCCCCCAGTTTGGGTGTTTGCAAATTCGATGAGTTCTCTTTCTATTCCTTCAGCTAAATCACTTACTAAGATGTGGAAGAGTACTGGGCCCAAGACAGAGCCTTGGGGTACCCCACTGCATGCTTCCCTCCATAGAGATGTAGTTCCATTGAGGACTACACACTGAGTGCGCTGGTTAGCCAGTTATGAATCCATCTGGTTCTGTCTATCCCACATTTTAGTTCATCAATAGAATGGCTTGCCTCCTTGCCTTGCTGGAGGTCTTCAAGAAAAGATTGGACGGCCGGGTGTCCAGAGTTTGGACTAAAAGTTCTCCAAAGTTCCTTCCAACTCCATTATTCCAACTCTATGATCACATGGTGATTGAAGGCAAGATGGGAGGTATAAAAATGTGATAAATAAAATGTGACCACCATATTGATTCTTTTGCTCCCTCACCCTTCTCCCACGGACTCCCATGCCTAGTATTATTTACTTCCTCCTGCACGGTTTGTTGGAGACGCAATTCTTTTTCCACCTTTGATTTTAAAGATGGCCTTGTCCTTTCTCCCAGATCAACTGGAGGTTTAGTTATCTTGTTTAGTATTTGATCAGTGCTTCTAAGTTCATGAGCCTCACAATCTCTCTACACTTTTTATGTGTTGACAAAAATAAATCAAATGCTAGAATGTTTCAAAACTTCCTGCTTTTATGGGCATCAAGCAATTCCCTTCTTGAGACCTCCACTTAGAGTTAAAACTTAAAACAGATCCGAGTCAGGAGATTCAGTCTTAATCATTTATTTTTGTATCCCACCTTCATTATTTTTATAAATAACTCAAGGCGGCGAACACACCGAATGCTGCTTCTTCCTCCTGTTTCCCCACCACAAGAACCCAGAGCTGAGTCGAGCTGAGAGGTTGCAGCCGGCCCAAAATCACGCAGGCGGCCTTTGGGTCATTTCCCACCTTTCCCATGAAAACTGTAGGCAAGCACAACAGGCAACGCGATGGGGCTGCGGCACACGGACCACACACGGGACTTGGGGTGTGTGTGTGTGTGTGTGTGTGGTAATCAAGGTTGGGGTGGCAGGCCGAGCAGCTGCTGCTTCCAGACGGCGCGCGGGAAGGCGGCGTGACCGCCCGCCGACAGGAGGACAGGGCGCCCGGGCCTTCGGGGGGCTCTTGGGGCGGGCAAGGGACGGGCCGCCTCGCCCTCCGCTCTGCCTCCGGCGCCGCTTGGGAAGAGCAGGCCCCGGGGGCGGGGAGCGGGGCGGGCAAGGCGGCCGCTAAGCCAGCTGCCTGGCCGGTCAGGGCTCCAGAGCGCCTCTCGGGAGCACGTCGGGAGGATGGGCAGCAGCAGCAGGTTTCCCGTGGGGGTGACCGCCGTGGGCTTGCTCAAGCATGGCCGGCAGAAGGTAGCTTGGCCCCGAATCGGGCCCTCGGGAAGCCTGGGCTTTTATGCCGCTTTTGCTACTCATTTCCATTTTTGCACCTAACCCCACAGCACTGGATATTTTGACATTCGGATGGCCTCGCAATGAAGTCCTTTTATGATGGTTTGGATTCATGTTAATTGCCGCGGGTTGGGGGGATCCATGCCGTTTTTGGAGCCATTGCTGGACAATCCTTGCCGTTTTCTTGGCCCCCTTTCAGAAGTGGCTGGCCTTTGCTGCCTTTCTGGGGCTGAGAGAGTGACCGGGCCAGTGGTACCTTTGGATGCCTTGGACCTCCACTCTTGCTCCCTGGGAGATGCCTCTGTCTCACCCCCCCCCCCAAAAAAAAGGCTTAATCTGTTCTCCACTGCAGCTGAGTTGCTTGCCTTTATGACCAACATTGTATTCTTTTTATTTTTAAAATTATTTTGGTATTTCTTGGTAATTGCCTTGAGTTCTATTTCTGCTAGAAACAGAGCATTGTATGATTTAGATTAAAGTGGATTTCGTGTTTTTTTCTCCCCCCCTCCCCCCAGACCTGCATGCTTTCTGTCTCCTGGTCTGACCAAACCCAGGTTCTCATTTACAGGACATTTGAAGAATTTAGGACCCTCCATGTAAGTTTTAGCTAAACTCGCATTTGATGCTTTCCCAGCAGAGCTGGCCACCCGGCAGAAGCTCATTTCCGGCTCTCTTCTTTTCAGAAAGGACTGAAGAGAAAATTCCCCATTGAGAGTGGTTTATTGAAAAAGTCTGACCGGACCCTCCCAAGATTTCAAGGTAAAAGGGAAGGACGGGCTGCCCTTGGATTTTAGCTTGAATTAGATTGGTGAGACGTTCCCTTTCCCATCCTTGCTGCGCTCATCAACACTTGGAAGGATTTACAGAGATATGTAATTTAATGCTGGACGCCTGTGACCTGAAATTGCATTTCCACTCTGGATGATGGAGGTGCTAAATCATCAGCCCCTTTTTACAAATCGTCCACACCGTAGTGCATTCATGTAAACTGAAATACCTGATGGCTTCATGCAGAGGGAAGCGTGTGTGTGTGTGTGTGTGTGTGTGTGTGTGTTTGTTTGTGTGTGCGCGCACGTGCAGGTACCTTATGATGTGGGCTTTAGGGGAGACTTGGAGGACGGGGAAAATGGATGTTTTAAGTTTTGTGGAAGTTTTGCCTATGATTGTCTTATAGAAAAAATATCATTTTAGTTTTTGAGAGGAGTTAAGGGATAAATTAATTTCATAAGGCTAAAAACTCTTCACCTGTCCAAGACTACAAGTGCAGGAGAGCCACCAAGATCACCACAGAGGGGCCCCTTTAGGCTCAGGGGAATTACAAGTTAAAAATAGCTTCTTATCATCCTAGATCTTTGTTCTTTGTTGAAGAAAGATTTGTCAAATACAATATATAATTTAGTTTCATTCCATCCTCCAAAGGATTGATTTTACAGTTTTGATGACCCTTTAAGTGAAGAGGCCTATTTGTGCTTGGACCCCTGCAGAATTCCACACTCCTGGGTTCTTACAGAGCTGGACATTACACCCCACACAAATTGTAGTGCTGAAAAGAAACCCATAGACTGCATGGAAGGGGGCCCAGAAGCGGAGTTCCTTCAGGTTTTGTTCTCCTCTCCCCCTTCGCAGATGCCAATGCGAAGCTGAGGAAGAATCAGAAGCTGAGCTGCTGCATGGAGAGTCTGAGGCTGCTGGAGGTCTATTGCCAGGAGCTAATGAAGACTCAAGCCAAAATCTCCCAAGGAGAAGATGTGATTAAATTTCTTGAAGCCCACGGCCAGGATCTGGAGCCCTCCTTCCCAGAAAACAGGTACATCTAAGAAAAGAGGTTTTCCTGAAGAGCAGGGAAGAAACATGCACTCCAGGAGGCTCAGTTCAAACATCAAATCATCTCGTGGCTTGAAGGCAGAATTACAGGCAGCCATACTTCAAACGATGTGCCTGCTTTCATCTTCAGACAAAGAAAAAAAATCTGCGTCACTTGACATGCAGCATATATGTGGCATTGGGGAGGAAAGAAGCTGCCTCGGGGGAGGATTTCCCCGTCTCCTGGCTTCAGGGCTGAAGCAGCTGGGAGGCCAGTTTGGTGCAGTGGGGAGGTGCCGGACTCACCCCTGGGAGAGGGGCTGCTCCAGGCCTCCCTTAGGCCCAGAACACTGCTGGGAGACTTTGGGCCAGGCCCTCTCACTCAGCCGAACCCACCTTGCAGGGGTGTTGCTGCGGGGAGCATTATGCTTACCATTTGGATTTGTACAAAAATAAAGGTGGGATGTAATAATAGTTGTAGATTTGCCTCCTCTACAACTCTAATCCATGCCCAAGGTTTGATTTTCACGGGTACAGGTATGCAGGTCTTGGCGTATTCGGGTCTTTTCCCGTGTAAGATTGAGAGATGCAAATTGTTTCTGATTCTCCTGGAATCACAATCCTAGCCAAGCAATGGGCTGTTCTCCATGTTCAGTATGTTTTGCTTCAGGGTGGGTGATGAAAAGGAAGTATTTCATAAAAAGGCAGGCAAAACCACCAACTCTGGTATCTCGGAGAGTGCTGGAGAAGGACCAGGGAGACCCAGCGCCAAGTCCCCCCCCCTCCAACTACAGAAAATAACTACCTGGGAGTCAGACAGCTACTTTCAATCCTATCAGGTTGTGGTTGTACATGAGGGAAACTCACACGCAAGCCACTTCAAAGGAAAGGCTAAATATATGAGAGCGAGTGTCCACATCAGCCGAGGAAAACCATTTGATTTCAGATCTGCAGTTACAAGAATAAGAGACAGACGGACTCGCTCTTTGTGCTGTGAGACTCAGAAGTACTGTATGGACTTTGATTTCACTCTGCAGAGGACTCGCTTCCCATAGATAGCAGTCCCTGGAATTCTTTCAGGTTGGCTTCCCTATCATCTTGGCAGAGGTTCCTGGATTTCTGCCAGTCTGCTTCAAAAGGCTTCAATTCCAGCCTGCAGGGGAAAAAATTCATCAAGATATAAATGCAGGGCATTGTTTTCTTATATTCAGAAAAGAGACAAGAAAATTGATTTAGGCCACAGCTTGTACAGTCATTAATTGGCCTCATTAAGGCTGAAAGGGCGGCTTTATCGCTCTAGTTTTCTTCTGTTGCTCTCTTCTGTGCCTGGGGGTGGTGAAGCCAAAGGTTGCTGGCCCCTCTCCAGTCAGGCCTGAAGCCCAGCTGTCATTTGGACCCTTAACATCCTGCACACGCTCCACTCTGATAGGCTGCCTCTCCAGGTGAGCTCGCTCTTGTAAGTGAGAGCTGCTGTTAACTCCATAAAGATCCCTGAAAGAACGGATTTTAGCATGATTCCAATATTACCATTTTTTTTAAAAAAACCATAGTTTAGCAGAAACAAAATAGATCAGAGCAGTCTTTTCCAATCTGGTGTCTATGGAGATTCTCAGTCATCCTGGTCATCGTTGCCCCAAAGATGCTTTTTCACGAGGCAACTGGACTTTCTTGTGTTTCTTTGAAGACTTTTCGCTTCTCATCCAAAAAGCTTCTTCAGCTCTGAAGAAGCTTCTTGGATGAGAAGCGAAACGTCTTCAAAGAAAAACAAGAAAGTCCAGTTGCCTCGTGAAAAAGCATCTTTGGGTTCCAATGTGGTGCTTTCAGAAGATCTTGCACTTTGACCCATTATCCCCAACCAGCACAGTGTCTGGGGATGATAGTAGTCTAACAGTCATCTGAAGGGCACGGGCTGTGTCAGAAGTCAACTCTAACCACTTTATTGCTGATATTACAGCATTCAGATGTCATCATTTTAACTGTGCACAATGCGGTGCGGTAAAAGCTTTCATTTCATCAGATGAAATGTTAATGAATCATCTGGGTGTGAATGTAAGTTATTTATTCAGATTTATTTTTTAGAAAATTTATATAGTTGCCCATGTTACATATTTACAGTAAATGACACAATTTAGTTAAATTGTAAACCAATTCATAGTTTACTCAACCAATTTATGA